GGTACTCACAAAGGTTGGGGATGACTCGTGGGTGCCGTTGGAGAGGTGGCTTGGGAGGAAGCCGCCGGTGGACATGCTGAGGGTGTTCGGTTGCATGGCAGTCGCCCACGTTCCCAAGACCTACCGCAGTAAGTTGGGGGCGAGTGCAATCTGGTGTGTGCATTTGGGGCTGGCTGCTGAGAGCAAGGGATGGCTGCTGTGGGAGCCTTCCAAGGGTGTGTTGTTTGACAGCAGGGATGTGAAGTTTGTTGAGGGCATGATGTATGGGAGCTGGGAGAAACAGCCGGAGGCCAGGGTGTCCCAGCAGATGGAGCAGATCACCATGCAGCTGGACCTGACTCCTAGTGTGTGGGAGGAGGGAGAGGAGTCAGCTGCAGAGGGTGGTGATAAAGAGAAGGTGCAGGAGGCACCTGCTGGTGGAGGTGATGGTGTGGAGATTAGCGGTAGCACTAGTGGAGCTGCTGGATCCGAGGGAGGAGAGCAGCAGCAGGGGAAAACTAAGAAGCCGAAGGGTGTCGTTATGAAGGGATGGGAGACACCCGTCTCCAGGCCAGGACGTACCCGTATGGCTACTAAGAAGCTGACTGCAGGAGCTGATGTAGCGGAGCAGCAGCTTGGGACCGAGGAGGCATTGCTGATTCTACCGCATGGCTATGACCCGGATGAGGAGGATCAACCTGCGTACTGTTTTCTTGCCCCTGCACCAGAGGAACCAGCTAGCATGGAGGAGGCATTAGCTGGACCAGATAGGGACAAATGGCTAGCTTCTAGGGATGCTGAGTACCAGAGCCTGCTGGAGAATGGGACTTGGGAACTAGTGGTGCTGCCTGAGGGAAAGAAAGCGGTACAATGCAAGTGGGTGCTAAGGATCAAGACTGACGACAAGGGGCAGGTCACCATCTACAAGAGTAGGTTGGTGGCTAAGGGGTTTATGCAGAAGGAGAAGCGGGACTTCAATGAGATCTTTGCTCCCACTGCCAAACCCCCTACCCTTCGTGTCTTGTTGGCAGATGCAGCCGTTAGTGGGAAGTTCATTATCCAGATGGACATATCAACGGCATTTCTCAACGGGATTTTAGAGGAGGAGGTGTTCATGACGCAGCCACCTGGGTATGAGGATGGTACGGGCAGGGTGTGCAAGCTGAAAAAGTCCATCTACGGCTTGAAGCAGGCGCCACGCTGCTGGTACCAGAAGTTGGCAGCTGTTTTAGAGGAGATGGGATTCAGGACCAGCAGCTGTGATGAGAGCCTCTTTCTCAAGGGGGAGGGGGAGAAGCTGGTGCTGTTTCTGGTCTATGTGGACGACATTCTTCTCTTTAGCAGCAGCATGAAGGAGATCCAGAAGGTGCAGCAGCAGCTGATGGAGAACTTCAAGTGCAAGAACCTTGGGGAGGTACAGTACTACCTCGGGATGCACGTGGAGAGGGATCTGGATCACAGGTGGTTGAAGCTGCACCAGGAGAAGTTCATCAAGGAGCTTGGGGAGAAGTACGGAATTGAGAATGAGCGCAAGGTTGCAACTCCCCTGCCAGCAGAATTCAAGCTTGTGAAAGCTGCAGAGGATGAAGGGGTTGAAGCCGAGGAGCAGCAGCAATTTCAGTCCTTGGTGGGCAGCCTCTTGTATGCAGCAGTTCACACGAGACCCGACATCTCTTTCTCGGTTGGGCAGCTGGCTAGGGTAGTGCAGAATCCATCAGAGGAGCAGGTGGATGCAGCTGAGCGTGTGGTGAAGTATCTGAACTCTCACCCAAGCATTGGAGTTCAATACTCCGCATCTGCACAGGTGAAGCAGAAAGGGGTTGAGGTGCTGAAAGAGAAGGGGGAGAGGCTTGGAGAAGGCAAGCTTTTTCTTACTTGCTTTACTGATGCTACGTGGGCCTCTGAGAAGGAGGATTCCTCATCTGTGGGAGGATACATCTGCGTAGTTGGGGGAGGACCGGTTAGTTGGAGGTCAAAGAAGCAGACGGAGACAGCACTCTCTTCCGTGGAATCAGAGTACATGGCGATGTTCCATGGGGTGAAGGAGGTGATTTGGCTGAGGAGGCTGTTGGAGGAGATTGGCCAGGAGCAAAAGGTTGCTACGCCGCTGTTTTGTGATAGCAAGGGAGCTCTTGGGATGGCCAGGAACGCTGTGCTTCATGGGCTGAATAAGCACATGCGTATCAAGTGGCACTGGCTGCGTAAGGAGGTGAAGAGGGGGACGGTGAATCCGATCTACATCAAGACTCACCAGCAGCCAGCAGACTTCCTCACCAAGAGGCTTGCGGATGAGCCTCATTGGCGTTGTGTGCGCATGAGTGGAATGAGCATGAACTAGTATGGAATGATGGGGATGCAGCCGGCAGGCTGAGGGGGAGTGTGTTGGGTGCAAATTCACATTGCACGACATCCTGCCGTCTGTTTGTACGAGTATGCGTGTGCGAATGCATTTGCGTGTGAATGGTATGTTTGTGTGTTTGTTTGCTTTCGCAATTTTCGCTTGAAGCATTTGCAGGTACTCGCAAAATGTGCGCTTCGGCATAACATTGTACGCGCTATGAACAGTAGAAGCAGAAAGGACGAGCTCGCAAAGGAACCCAAGATGGAAGCTTTGCGGTTCAACTTACATGATTGCGCAGATTCAGTTCTATCCAACTCGAAATTGTACTGTTTTGTTTGGTTGACTATAGTGTAGCAGGGCAGGCACTATAGGGGTACAATTTAGGTGAAGGTTGGATGTTGTTTGTCTGTATCTGCATGCTACAGGGCCAGGGGAAACCAGCGGAACCAGCATTTGGCTGGTTGGGCAAAGACAAAACAGGTTCTGTTTTTAGGACCTGAACCTGGTTGTTCCCAGGTTGATTCCCAAGGTCCTTGCTAGCTAGAGCTATTTATTCCTTCTCTGTTTGTACCTGAATATAGTGAAATTGATTCAAGCGAATTCCTTCCTTGCTGGAATTTCTTTTCTACGCGGTGCGACGGCGGAATGCTACCCGAGTCAACGCTAGTACGCTAGCACTTCAACGCTAGGCTAACGCTGTCCGAGCCATAACTTCGTAATGGCAGAACTTTTCGCGAGGCAACTTGGCTTATTTTAAAGCTCTTAGAGTGAGCTTCGATATAGGAAATTCTCAGCTTAATCCGATCGACGGTGTGCACGATACGCTGCGCGACGTTCAAGGTACTCTTGCTGTTTTGACTAAGTCCCTCTTGATCCCTCTCTCTACAAACTCGGACCCGAGGATAGGGGCTGGTCTTGTACCAGGCACCCAAGGACCCTTGGAGGTGACCCCGAGGAGAGGTTTTAAGTGTGATAAAGTCTTAATAGCTTGAGTTTATTAGGCCCTTACACCAACAGGCTGCTCCAGGGGCGGCTGCTGCAGGTGCGGGCTGCTCCAGGGGCGGCTGCTGCAGGTGCGGGCTGCTCTAGGGGCGGCCACTGCAGGTGAAAGGTAGGAGGGAGGGGGGAGGAGCGCGGCCCCCAGGGCGCCCCGACGGGCGACGACAAAGGGAGCCGCGCGGGCCCCCGAGAGCGCCTCAACGGGCGACGGGAGGGGACCACGCGCGGGCCCCCGCGGTCGCCACGACGGGCGACGGGAGGGGAAGCCGCGCAGGCCCCCGGGAGCGCCCCGACGGGCGACGGAAAAGGACCGCGCGCGGGCCCCCATGGTCGCCACGATGGGCGACGGGAGGGGAGGCCGCGCGGGTCCCCGAGAGCGCCTCGACGGGCGACGGAAGGGGACCGCGCGCGGGCCCCCATGGTCGCCACGACGGGCGACGGGAGGGGAGGCCGCGCGGGCCCCCGAGAGCGCCTCGACGGGCGACGGGAGGGGAGGCCGCGCGGGCCCCCGAGAGCGTCTCGACGGGCGACGGGAGGGGACCGCGCATGCCCCTCAACGGCACCACGACGCGCGCCACGGAAGGGTAAACCGCCACGCGCCCCGAGCGCGCGGCGGGCAGAAACCCTAATTTCGGCGCCGCGCACCACGGGGCGCGCGGCGGACAGTACGGCAGCGGAAGCAGGTGGTGGGCCCATGCACAGGAAGGCGGCAGACATGCCGCCCTATGATACCATGTCACAATAGTAGGCATAAGCAGGAGCCATAGCTAGGGTTTACCTAACTAGGCAAGAGAGAAATTAGCAAAGGATGGTTTGACTAGCAACAGTTGGGATACAAATAGGAAACCTTAAGGGGCCGTACTCACTACAGAGTACCCCACTGCAGGCTAGACAAGCATTATAATCTGACATTCCATTTACTGGAATTCCGTAGACGAGAATTTCCGCGACAAGAATCCCGTCGACCACCGACTATAACTCCCGTGCAAATTCCGTTGACTTCGACACTTCGCTGCCGAGTTTCAAACCAAACGCGACCCGAGATCGATTTCGCCAAACTGTCCTCAATCTGTCCCCAAACTGTCCCCAATCTGTCATAACAAGACATTTTCGGGACACTTGAATCGAAAGGTCTCTAGTTCAAAACTCGTGTGCACCATAACCAGCGCCTTAGCAGAAACTATCCTGAATCTGTCCTGAGATACTTTCAGGACAGATTTGAAGGTCACGAGTTCGAATCCCAGCGCAGACATTTTGTTGCTCATGGCAGCATTTCCTTCTAACATCTCACGCCACCCAGCTTTGAGGGGGAGACGTGTGAGAGTATGACGGCTTATGCTGGCTTTGCTAGCTTGCCTAGACTTTGTTATGCTATTACTGGCTTGGGTTTTATTTGTGAAGCATAGATATGCTTGATTTCCTAGGTTAGGTGCATTCCTATATTTCATTGTCATTATTGCACCGAACCAGGTTACGTGTACCGAACTCAAGCCTTTTCGGTTGCCACCGAATTGCTTTCTACTGAGTTCGGGAAGGTTCTGTTCGGGACGCTTCGCGACCCTCAGAACATTCGCGTAACACCTGGGTAACTGGCCTTGTGTCGAGACAATATATAGCCTCGTGTTGTACACAGGTGGATCATTCAATTCAAACTCTCTTTTCTGAGCTCGATCCTAGATCCTCACACTCCAGCTCCAGGCTCCTCCAAACCAGCACCTCCAATGCCAGCGCCTCCAGCACTAGCACCCCCAGCCCCAGCACCCCCAGTGCCAGCGCCTCCAGCACCGGCACTCCCAGAACTAGCACCTCCAATGCCAGCACCTCCAACTCCAGCACCCCCAGAACTAGCACCTCCAGTGCCAGCACCTCCAGCTCCAGCACCCCCAGAGCTAGCGCCACCTGCGCCAGCACCTCCAGCTTCAGCACCCCTTGAACGAGCACCCCCAGATCGGGCACCGCCAGCAGCCGCACCTCCAGCTCCAACACCAACCGAGTCCACAGGAACTTGTCGCGGAAGTGCCGAAGGCTGCTGAGGGGACTGTGAGGAGGACTGCGGGGAGGGCGACGCTACCTGACGCGCGACTGAGGGTAGAGGGGTAGCGTGGGACACACCGGACGGAGCATGACCAGGGAGGAGCGGGAGCAGGAGGAGGAGAGGGTGCGAGGAAGAGGGGGGGAGGGGGTACCGGGAGACCTTGACAGGGGTACCGGGAATAGTAGGACACAGACTCGTCAAACCGGACGTCACGGGAGTCTAGGAACTGGTGGAGGGAAGGGTGGTTAAAGGACCTGTTGGCAGAGTCCACAGGGAAACCAAGGAAGACACAGGGGACGGCGCGTGCCGAGAGCTTGTCCGCCGAGGTGTCACGAACAAGCGCAAGGCAGCCCCAGACACGAAAGACCGACCCAACACCAGGGGATCCGGTCCAAAGACTGGTCGGTGAAGCCTCGGGCGGTGAGACACGCGGCTGGAGGTTCAGCAGATGTGCACTGTAGCGAATCGCGTAGGGCCACAGAAAATTGGGCGCATGGGCATGGATCATGGACGTGCGAGCAATGTCCGTGACCAAGCCAATGCGGCGCTCAGCAACCCCATTCTGCTGTGGGGACTCCAGAAGTGTCCAGGACTATACGATGCCCTGTTCGCTGCAGAATCCGGCAAGAACGCCGGAGCAAAACTCGCCCCCATGGTCAAAGTGTAGACAACTGACGCGACGACCACGAGTGCCCTCAGTGGCTAGAAGCCACCTGATCAGCGTGGCAGACACCTCGGGCTTCTTCGCGAGAGGGAACACTGTGGGGTACCTGGAGAAGTTGTCGACGACCACCACAAAGTAACGCTCCCTCCCAGAACCCTGCGTCGGGGCAGGGCCCCAGACGTCCAAGTGGAGGGTCTCAAAGGGAGCAGTGGCCGGACGAAGGGAAGAGGAGTGGGGAGTGGTGCGTAAGCGGCCGGCGATGCAAGGAGCGCAAGGGGGAGCAGGGGAGGTGGGGAGCGACAAAAAGGTGCGTGGGGGACCAGTAACAAGCCCGTGAGTGGCCATCCCGCGGAGGCGGGGGATCGACGGGTGGCCAAGGCAGTGATGCCACAAGACGGTCCGGTGCGTGAGGGACCGAGAGGAGCAGGACGCAGCGACTGGACTGTTGGGTGCAAATTCACATTGCACGACATCCTGCCGTCTGTTTGTACGAGTATGCGTGTGCGAATGCATTTGCGTGTGAATGGTATGTTTGTGTGTTTGTTTGCTTTCGCAATTTTCGCTTGAAGCATTTGCAGGTACTCGCAAAATGTGCGCTTCGGCATAACATTGTACGCGCTATGAACAGTACAAGCAGAAAGGACGAGCTCGCAAAGGAACCCAAGATGGAAGCTTTGCGGTTCAACTTACTTGATTGCGCAGATTCAGTTCTATCCAACTCGAAATTGTACTGTTTTGTTTGGTTGACTATAGTGTAGCAGGGCAGGCACTATAGGGGTACAATTTAGGTGAAGGTTGGATGTTGTTTGTCTGTATCTGCATGCTACAGGGCCAGGGGAAACCAGCGGAACCAGCATTTGGCTGGTTGGGCAAAGACAAAACAGGTTCTGTTTTTAGGACCTGAACCTGGTTGTTGTTTTCCCAGGTTGGAAAAACAGAACCAGAGGTTGTTCACCAACCTATCACCTGCTATTTTGTCCAGCCATGTTGGTTCTGTTGCTTGGAATTATTTGGGATCATCCCTGGTTGTTCCCAGGTTGATTCCCAAGGTCCTTGCTAGCTAGAGCTATTTATTCCTTCTCTGTTTGTACCTGAATATAGTGAAATTGATTCAAGCGAATTCCTTCCTTGCTGGAATTTCTTGTCTACGCGGTGCGACGGCGGAATGCTACCCGAGTCAACGCTAGTACGCTAGCACTCCAACGCTAGGCTAACGCTGTCCGAGCCATAACTTCGTAATGGCAGAACTTTTCGCGAGGCAACTTGGCTTATTTTAAAGCTCTTAGAGTGAGCTTCGATATAGGAAATTCTCAGCTTAATCCGATCGACGGTCTGCACGATACGCTGCGCGACGTTCAAGGTACTCTTGCTGTTTTGACTAAGTCCCTCTTGATTCCTCTCTCTACAAACTCGGACCCGAGGATAGGGGCTGGTCTTGTACCAGGCACCCAAGGACCCTTGGAGGTGACCCCGAGGAGAGGTTTTAAGTGTGATAAAGTCTTAATAGCTTGAGTTTATTAGGCCCTTACACCAACAAGCTGGTATCAGAGCTGCGTTATAGTGATCCTCGATATAGGTAGCTATGGCGGGCAACACCTCGGCGGTAGCTGGTGAATCTTCAGCCCAAGATCGTAGCGGCAGCCATGATTCTGGTGTTTCTGCGCCAAGGGGAGCGCGAACAAGCCAGGGCTCGCTGATCAAGGAGGTGCTGAAAAACTTCACCGTCGAGAAGTTCAATGGTGAGGGCTATGATGATTGGGCCTGGAAAATGCAACTTTATTTCCGTCAAATCGGATTGCTGAAACTAATGATTGGGGAGGAGCCTAGACCGAGTGACCCCGCCCTTCAGGAAGATTGGGACGAGCGCGCCTCGGCTGGCTACTACTTGATGTCGCAGAGTTTGGAGCTGAACCAGCGTCACCACGTCATGCACCTGCTGCCGGAGGTTGAGTGCGGTCCGAAGGCGTGGACCGTGTTGAAGGAGCTGCACGCCCCGACCTCCGTTGTTGCAACATTGATGCTGGAGAGGGAGCTGTCCGCGTTGCGCCTGAGCGAGGGAGAGCCAGTGCAACCTGTCCTGGACAAATTGCGCGACCTCTACGCGAAGTTGGCGATCGCGGGAATCACCTACCCAGAGCAGACCAAGTGCCTGAAGATGCTCTCGCTGCTGCCGGAATCGTGGCTTCAATTCACGAGCGGATTGAGCCTGCCGCAGAACCAGAGCTCGTGGACACTCGAGTGGGTGCGGACAAAGATTCTAGAGGAGGACTTCCGTCGCCGTCAACTGAGGGGTGGAGACGGCGGCAGCAGCGGCTACGGGATGCAAGGGAGCCGACGTGGCAGAGGACGTGGCTTCGGTGGTGCTGGACGCGGTGCAAAGAAAGACGACGACTCCAACGACCAACAAGGAGGTACCGGTTGGGGTCGCGGTGCGAAATCTGGACGTGGGGGCAAGTCGGGTGCTGGTGGCAAAATGAAAGGGAGTTGCTGGTATTGTGAGAAGGAAGGGCACCCCTGGTTTTTGTGCTATAAGAAACCCGATGGATGGACCCCCCAGAATCGTCACCAGGATGGCGGCGCGCGGAGGAACCAGAAAAACGGCGCCAACATGGTCGCTGATTCGTCCGACAACAACCCGAAGGGCAACGGCGGTGCGGAGAAGAAGAAGGAGCGCACCGCGGGCCAATTCTTCCATATGGGAGACAAGGGGGAGCAAGGAGACGCATCTGCTAAGGCTGGAGCAGAGCTGCACCCCCTGGACTATTGGGTGTTGGACACAGGCGCTGCTTGGACAATGACGCCGCGCAAGGACCTGCTGGACGACGTACGCGCTGCACCGATTAATGAGGTGTGCTCTGCCTCTGGACACATGTTGAAGGTGGCTGGTGCGGGACGAGCTGCATTTAAGGGAGCGGATGGCAAGCCGGTGGTGCTGCACGACGTTCTCCTCGTCCCCGACCTGAAGGCCAACCTCATCTCCCTCCGTAAGCTTGGCAAGGCTGGGGTGAACACCAACACGGATGGGGCTCGCACTTATAAGGGGAAGCTGGGCAATCGGGTGCTTTGGGATCTGCACGAGAGCAAGGACGTGTACAGATCTATGTGGCAGCTGCCGGCGCTGGCGTGGCACGGTGGGGGGCAGGCTGGAGAGGGGTCTGCATCCCAGGGGGAGTGCAACGCCGTTGGAGGGGTTGGTGTGAAAGTGTCGGCCAGATCTGGGGAGACAGATTGGGCAACTGCACACCGACGTTTGGGGCATGTGGCAATGCCTTTGCTGAAGCAGCTGGAGAAGGATGGAGCCGTTAAGGGCTTAAAGCTGAACGGACAACCACCCGATGATAACTGTGAAATTTGCCTCCTTTCAAAGTTCACCCGTTTCCCCTTCCATAGTGTGGCTGGCAGGAGCAAAAAGCCGTTGGAGCTGGTCCACATGGACTTGGTGGGGCCGCTGCCGGTGCAAGGGCACAAGGGGGAGCGGTACTTCCTAACCATAGTGGATGACTGGAGCAGGCTAATGTGGGCGTATCCGCTGAAGCAGAAAGATCACGCCGCCTCCACGATTCGGGACGATTGGCTGCCGTTCGTGGAGAAACAAGCGGAGTGTGTGGTGAAGCGGATTAGGACAGATCGGGGTGGTGAGTTCCTTGGAGCTGAGATGACGGCCTGGCTCAAGAAGCAGGGCATCCAGAGGGAGCTGACCACGGCTTACACCCCACAGTCCAACGGTGTAGCAGAACGGGCGAACCGGACAATTCTGGAGACAGCTAGGGCGCTGCTCATAGAATCTGGGCTGGGCAACTTGATGTGGCCCCATGCTGTTCGGCACGCTACCGTCGCTAGGAACAGGGTACTCACAAAGGTTGGGGATGACTCGTGGGTGCCGTTGGAGAGGTGGCTTGGGAGGAAGCCGCCGGTGGACATGCTGAGGGTGTTCGGTTGCATGGCAGTCGCCCACGTTCCCAAGACCTACCGCAGTAAGTTGGGGGCGAGTGCAATCTGGTGTGTACATTTGGGGCTGGCTGCTGAAAGCAAGGGATGGCTGCTGTGGGAGCCTTCCAAGGGTGTGTTGTTTGACAGCAGGGATGTGAAGTTTGTTGAGGGCATGATGTATGGGAGCTGGGAGAAACAGCCGGAGGCCAGGGTGTCCCAGCAGATGGAGCAGATTACCATGCAGCTGGACCTGACTCCTAGTGTGTGGGAGGAGGGAGAGGAGGCAGCTGCAGAGGGTGGTGATAAAGAGAAGGTGCAGGAGGCACCTGCTGGTGGAGGTGATGGTGTGGAGATTAGCGGTAGCACTAGTGGAGCTGCTGGATCCGAGGGAGGAGAGCAGCAGCAGGGGAAAACTAAGAAGCCGAAGGGTGTCGTTATGAAGGGATGGGAGACACCCGTCTCCAGGCCAGGACGTACCCGTATGGCTACTAAGAAGCTGACTGCAGGAGCTGATGTAGCGGAGCAGCAGCTTGGGACCGAGGAGGCATTGCTGATTCTACCGCATGGCTATGACCCGGATGAGGAGGATCAACCTGCGTACTGTTTTCTTGCCCCTGCACCAGAGGAACCAGCTAGCATGGAGGAGGCATTAGCTGGACCAGATAGGGACAAATGGCTAGCTTCCAGGGATGCTGAGTACCAGAGCCTGCTGGAGAATGGGACTTGGGAACTAGTGGTGCTGCCTGAGGGAAAGAAAGCGGTACAATGCAAGTGGGTGCTAAGGATCAAGACTGACGACAAGGGGCAGGTCACCATCTACAAGAGTAGGTTGGTGGCTAAGGGGTTTATGCAGAAGGAGAAGCGGGACTTCAATGAGATCTTTGCTCCCACTGCCAAACCCCCTACCCTTCGTGTCTTGTTGGCAGATGCAGCCGTTGGTGGGAAGTTCATTATCCAGATGGATATATCAACGGCATTCCTCAATGGGATTTTAGAGGAGGAGGTGTTCATGACGCAGCCACCTGGGTATGAGGATGGTACGGGCAGGGTGTGCAAGCTGAAAAAGTCCATCTACGGCTTGAAGCAGGCGCCACGCTGCTGGTACCAGAAGTTGGCAGCTGTTTTAGAGGAGATGGGATTCAGGACCAGCAGCTGTGATGAGAGCCTCTTTCTCAAGGGGGAGGGGGAGAAGCTGGTGCTGTTTCTGGTCTATGTGGACGACATTCTTCTCTTTAGCAGCAGCATGAAGGAGATCCAGAAGGTGCAGCAGCAGCTGATGGAGAACTTCAAGTGCAAGAACCTTGGGGAGGTAAAGTACTACCTCGGGATGCACGTAGGAGAGGGATCCTGGATCACAGGTGGTTGAAAGCTGCACCAGGAGAAGTTCATCAAGGAGCTTGGGGAGAAGTACGGAA